GTTTGCCATAATCTGGGCTCTGAAGAAGTTCGATTACTGGTTATTTGGGGCGCGGATAAACGTCGTTTCGGATCATAACCCCCTGACCTACCTCACCGCGAGCACACCACACGGGGCTAAACTGGCGAGGTGGGCTCTGGCGCTGCAGCGTTATGACGTTGTGGTCACCCACCGTAAAGGGGTAAACAACGGGAACGCGGACGCCCTGTCGCGACTCCGAAATAACAGTTGGAGTGATGTGTAGCGCGGAGCCACGTTGCCCTTGGGAGCAGGTGAATGTTCCCGCTCGCCCAGGTGGGCACCGCAGACCGGGGCCGCAGGGTGCCGGCCGAACTGTGTACAGCGCCTAGGGAAATGACCGAACTCACCGGCGGCGCAGTGGCGGTTTCGTCGTGCGAGACTGGCGTGGCGTCTAATCGTGATCGTTTCTTTTTGTTTGTTTTGTGTCCCCATAGAAAGGTTATCATGAGCGTATAAGTGAAGCATGTCCCTTTGCTGAACCGGCAAAGCGTCACCGGTCGTCGAATTTTGTGTACTGTTGTCGGTCTATACGCCGTACAACAGTCTTTGCGTTGGAGGTGTAAGGTTGGGCGACGCCGCGGAGTGTTTCGTTTTGTTCATTTTGTTAGCGGCCCCCCGTCCGCAGCTGGAGCGCCTCGGGGCGAGCCGTGTTGGTCGCCCTTCCGGGGTGGTCACTGGGCGCGGGGAGTGTTTTCTTTTGTTTGTATTTGCGGAGGCGTCTGCCACTTGGCGAATCCTCCGCGGCCGGTCGGGTTTCGACCGAGGGGTCCGCTGCGATTCCGAGAAGACGGCGACCACCACCGATGTTAGGGGGCTCTCCCCTCGGGTTCGTTAGGAGCCTGCGCGCCTTGGTGCGATGAAGGTTGGGCAGCCCCCGGGTGGTCGCTGTGCGCGAGAAGTGTCATCTTTTTGTTTGTTTACGAAGGCGGCTGCTGCCGGGCGCAGCCCCGTGGCCGATCGGGTTTCGACTAAGGGGCTCCCTGTGGCGCCACGAGGACGTGGACGACGACCACTGTCGGAGTTACGGGGCTGTCACCTCGGGTCCGTTGGAAACTTGACGAATGGGCCTGTTTGCGCCCTGTCGGACATTGGACGGGTGGCAGCACGTGACTCCGAGGGGTTTCAAACCTATTGGCCGATCCCTTCCCGAGGGCGAGGAAGACCGAGGTTTTAAAAGCTCGTGTCGGGGCGGGAAGGGGCGATTTTTGCTTGCTTTGGAACGACTGTAAAGAAGTTCGACGGAGATGCAAACTTCCCCTACTTGTACATAAAACTGTACAGAGTTTGTAATGTAAATAAATGTCTTGAACTCGTAACCCCCAAAAGCCTCCATCGTCCACCAAACTACCAAGCCGCCAGCCAAGAAGAACAACGACCAAACTTTACTCAATCTAAAATAAGTTTTCTTTTTATATTTTTATATTCTAGTACTGTAATTTTAGTTTTTTATCATGTATTAAAAACTTTAACTCAAAAACTGCTAGGTGCACATTTTTAATTTTAGTTCAGTATTTTTGAACAGCCATGTATGTGGTAGAAATAAAAAATCAACCTTCTATAATGTCAGGTTAAGGAAAAAATGGTACCTATGTACTAAAAAACACTGTTTTGAGATAATTGAGTTTAAAGTAAAAAAAATGGTGAATAACGAATTTCTATTGGCACCAACAGCCTCAGAGTCATTTTTTCAATAGCCGCCAGCTTGAAAGGCATTGCTAAAGTCATGTCTTCGCCTTTAGGCTTATCGCCTTGCTTGCCGGGCCTCTTTTGTGACCTGCCATGTCGCTTGGTCCGTAAAGTATATTAGAGTGACGTCAACTTCCCTCAGCCACTTGATGGCTTTCCACACAGGGTTCCATCCACAAAACTTCAAAACATTGGCTTGTGCAATGCTGCCACCATTCAGTAAAGGAACAGCATTCAATGGCGCCATTTTGTCGTTACGAAAACACAAACGCTTGAAAGTACACACGGTACACACCTGGGAAAAACGTGCACCGCGTCTCGTGATTGTCTTGGTTGAAAAAAAGCTATGCAATAGTTGCGAAATAATTTTTTGAGATTATCTGTTACTGGACAAGCTTTTAGGTCTTGTGTTGATTTTGTTTTGTTGGAGAATGCATCGATAAACAGGGAGTGTATCCCAGAAGGAGGCGTGGTCACCTGCTACTTGCTTTCGGAAGAAGTGATTTTCAGCCCGAAATATAGCTTTCTAAAAACACTGGGACAATGGAAAATGTGCAGAAAGAACTAAGCTTTTCAAATTGCGAAAAAAAACTAAAATCGATCTTTTTTTCAATTTTACCTTACCCTGTGCCCTTAACGAGACATGACTGCAGTTCGCGTCGTTGCCACGCTGGTGCAACTTTGCCACGTTGGTGCAGAACAATGCGCGACTCTGATGTCACGCCACGGCGGTGATGCTGCAGTCAACACGGTGCAGGTCTCTGCGCGGTGCATACAAAAACGCGGGCTTGTTTGTAAACGGCGAGTTGTGGTATATCCGACTGGGGCTTCTCAAAAGACCCGTTTCGGACAAAATAATATGGCACTATGGACTTCCGAAATAATAATTCTGAGCAGACTAATATGCAACTATAAACCAACAATTTGTCCTGGATTCGTTTTGAACCTGTTTGAGTTCTGAATCTGTTTTAAATTCGTTTTAGACCCGATTTTTTTTTTTTTTCTGACGGCATGTTGAATTTTGCGAGTTGTTCAAGACATCTGACTTTTTTTCTTTTAATAATTGTTCCAGATACAACGACGAGTACCTTTTCCATACCCATCCTCATTTTCCAATTTAATGTTTCCAACGGTCTTGGAAGTGATTGTTCTGTAAGAAAATAAGGATATAATTTACTGGGGATACCCAAAATCCGAAAAGCAACTTTTGGAAATATCATAATCTAAAACCCGAAACAGGAAGAAATAAAAATAGGCGGTTTTGTACAAGTCTAGCCGCCCGTACACGGGCTATGATGCAGGAAGAGGATTATAAGAAATGCATGAAGTTCGGACTTCTCGCACCCGTTAAATCAAATTGACTAATTTGCTTTATGTTTCTTTGTGTGTGTGTGTGTGTGTGCGCGTGTGTTTGTGTGTGTGTGTGTGTGTGTGTGTGTGTGTGTGTGTGTGTGTGTGTGTGTGTGTGTGTGTGTGTGTGTGTGTGTGTGTGTGTTTAACAGTTACTATATACTTCATGCAGAAAAGAAAGACCCGCGCGATTGTACAATTATTTAAAATGACCATTGAGTTATAAACGACTTAATGAAATGTTTGAAAACGTATTAGTTGAACACAAGAACGTTTTCGTCCTGAGCGGTACAAGTGAACAACTTATAAAAGAAAAGATGATTTACATTGACGTATTATTCAGAAAACATTGACACACAGTCACATCTAAGAAATATAATTAGCTCTTGATTCTGACTATCTCCTCAAGTATGCGCATTGTTTCACGCCATTAGCTGTATTCAGGCATCCAACCAAATCGGTGGTGGAAGAGTTCCATGAAAATATATAATGCAATGTCCGGCCACGTTCTGAGGTCTTTTCAGTGTGAACGACGCATTAGTACCCATTCAGTTGGCGGCACTTTTGTGATATGTACAAATAAAACCTCTAAGCGCACAAATTCGACGTAAATTTTCTTATGCAACTTTTTCCTGAGCCGAATCAAATGCTTATTGAGAAAAGAAAGAGCGAGACGGGAATAAAAATTCTAGGTTTAGATATGTATGTAATACCCCTGTTACACGGGCACACATAACCGCGGTTAACTCAGCTTAACTGCTGTTGCGCGGCACCACAGATACCGCACTATATTCTCTGTCAGCTATTTCAGAAGAAGTGAAGAGCGCGCGCACACTGCTTCGATAGATGCTCAAGCGCACGTTCGCCCATGGCTTTGGCTGCATAGCCGCAGAATGTTGTCCGCAAGTATTGTGCGCTATCTGTGGCTTAGCGTAACTGCAGTTAAATGTTCCCGTGTAACAAGGGTATAAGTTTCGTGCTAATGAAGAAGGGCAACACACCTAAAAATAATGCGCCCCTGCTTTCAACCTAATTGTTAAGATGAAAAAAAGTAAAACAACCAAGAACGCAGACAGATCGAATAATTTGTTTGGACGATTCGTTAGACCAGTGTTGGAACTTGGAATCCAAGTTTTAATGAAGGTAATGGCGGTGGTTCCTTCGATAAACACTTAAAATCCCCGAGAACGTATACTAAGGTGCTTATTTGCCTTCTTAATAAGATCCTTTCATTTTTCACCGCTGTTCTTTCAGTGAGAGCAGGAGGGGGTGTGACGGGGCCTTTTTGTGTTCGGGTCACGTCAACGTGGTGTGTCAGGACGTGGTGTGTTGAGGCTCGTTCACACACTTGCAACCGAGTAAGGCTGAGACGAGACCGGTTTTTATACCTCTTCCGACGGCTTAAGACCTGCACCCCAGCAACGGCTTAGGTCTTGAAACACTCGGTCGTAAGTGTGTGAACGGGCCTTTATGTCCAGGCTTCTTGTTTTGTGATTGGTTCTTTGCTTATTGGCCGCGGGACGACCAATGAGAATGCTCGAGATTAGCCACGTCCTGCGTTTACTGAAATGTCAGTGTCTAAAGTAGCTCACTTGGCAACGTGGGGAGATCTGTCTTTCATAGTTTATTAGCTGCATGTGGTTTATTAAGAATTGTCAGGCTGCGGGGGTGTCACAAATTTTTGGGAGGGGCGCCAGGGGGTTGCATACCATAGCTTTGTCTACTTTGTGTAGAAAGTTCTTGGTGGGGGCGAGTGTTGGACTCAGCCTGAGGGTGTGTTAGGGGGGAGGGGGGAGCCCGTAAAAATCACAAAGTTCGTGCTGGTCGTAGGTGCGCGCGCGACCGTACAACCTTACCATGGCCAACCGTACAACAATAATCATTGTTGCCGTGGTTCCCGGCATTTCCAAAAACTAACAACATTGCCCTCGCGTCTTACGCAGGCTGGGTCTCGAAGGCTCGGACGAGGACGAGGACTCCGACGAGCGGAACCAGGGATCCTCGGAGGAATCGGACGACCAGTCGTCCACCATCTCGAGCAGCGAGGGCCTGATGGCCAACGAGACGCTGGGCATCAGCGTCTGCAACAACGCCCTGTTCCACGTCCCACTGCGCTGGACGTACAGCTGCGGCACTGCCCACGACCGGGGCGACCACAGGCACAACGTCACCTACTCGGTCAAGGAGTCAGACTTCTACTACATGTTCTTCGCCAGCAATCCGCCGCTGTACGTCACGCCGAACACCATCGTGGCGCACTTCTACTTGGACAGGGTTGTGTACGACGAGCGGAAGAGCTACAAGACCGACACGCTGATCTGCCACAACGTGACCAATTGTTCGCTGCCGCTGGACTTCATGTCCGGACAGTACGTGGTGGTGGACATGAGCTCCAACGCGACGAACCTCAGTTGGACCTCGGATGTGCTGACGTCGCGGTGCTTGCCGCGAAAGAACGTCTACTTCGTGTTTTACTTCGTCTTTGGACTGTTCCTCATGATGGCCGCCTTCCAAGGTTGAGGACCACACTAAGTCAGGATTGCATATACGTATAATAGACCTCGTTCGTTTTTGGTAGCGCCTGCTGGAGGCCTTGGGGTGATCCGGGGATGGACGCCTCAAAGATGGTGGCTTCTTTTCGATATGATGTGGCTTCTGTATAAACAGTCTACAGAAGTAACTAAAATGTTACCAGCAATATCTAAGGCTCACCCGAAAGTTGTGGCGGAACACAGAGGGTGGGTACTTTGGTTGCGTGTTTCATTAATGGTACCCAAGTATACCACATAAGCCATGGTATACCACAAACGTCATCTCCGAAGGTTGCAGGTTCAGATGACTTCTTTGCCATGCAGCACTCGACTCAAAATTAATCTCATTACGTTTTCTTTCTTTTTTATTTCTTTTTTTACGTGCAAGCGGTGCTTACAGCGATGAGTTAGATGACGTTGGATGATCATTGCATAAACGCCCGCAAGTGTCGAGGGCCTACGAGCATGATGTATCATGCGACGCCGTTAGGCAGATCTTTGGAGAGCGCACTCTTTACGGTTATGTTTCCGTTATTGGGCATAATGTTTATACCATGGCGTTTTACTTAGTTCCTTTTTTTGGGCCCATTACTTTGCTGGGGTGAGCACCTCGAGCACACTAGCTGTTCAGTTACTTTAGATGAAACTGGAGATCCTCGATTTATAATGAGGAAATAATTGCGTAAGGTTTTCTATCCTAGGCTGCTCCTGTTGTGGGAGAAGACAAGATGAATACCCAAAAAAAAATATAGTCAGTGTACAGGCGAGCTCGTGTAAGTTGAACATGATGGTAAACCTGAGACTGGGTTAGGAAAAGGAAAACGCAGAGGAAGATAGAAAAAGAACAGGCAACGTCTCAAACTCAGCTCTGAGTTTGAGGCGTTGCCTGTTCGTCTGAAACTCAAAGCTGAGTTTGAGACGTTGCCTGTTCTTTTTCTGTTTTCCTTTGCGTTTTCCTTTTCCTACCCTAATCTCAGGTTTACCGTCATGTTCAAGATAAATACAGACGCAGAAAAGCATGAACGGCAACAAGATGGGATGGAAGTTTCAGCACTTGGGAATTTAAACTCAAGCGAACGTAGTCTTAGTCATACCCTGATGAACTTACACTCCAGTTTAATCTAAACTGTACAGTATACTATTTTAGATTATGCTTTATATATTAATAAAAAATATAAAACAATTGTACGGCTTTCATTTTCATTCATTTCCACCTTAAAGTTCCAATTAAAGGGGGAGGGGGGTCGTTTGTAAATATCCAGCAGTAATTGCTGTAATATGATCATAACACTCTTCGGGTGGTTTGGAATGTTATGGAGTTCGTTTGTAGATATGGAAGAAAAAAAGTCACTTAACACTTCAGGGCAGTCACTCTCCCTGACTGGTTCACCGTTATGGTCGTTCAAATGTATGGTTCTGGGACTGGTTTTGGGTGACATAAGCTTCAAAAATTTGTCGGATTATTGAGCAAGATTTTAGTAAATTTTGAGAAAAAAAAATATAGATTTCGATTATCTACGACTTTTTGCGTATAGTTCTTCAGTGCAGCGTAGTAAGTGTCCCAATCACAGGATAAGTTAGTTAGCTTTGCTTTCACGAAAAGTAGTTGCTTTTTATTGCATAATTACCTTGAAGTTTTATTATATCATGAGTTGGATGAGTCAGTACGAATTTGTATAGTGGGCACATATGTTTTACCCAAGCCAACCTTATTTGTGAATATAACCCAATTTTCTTGGACTGAGCTTCCTGAAAGTCGGGATCGAAGGTGTCATAGAAAGTTGCTAAGTCATAGTTTATTGCTTCGTATTTGGCTTGATTGTAATTGTGAATAGTTTTAAAAATCTGACTTTTCACAACAACAGGCAAAGAAAGAACAACCGTGCAGGGGTGTGATTACTCAAACCTTCAGAGAGTTGGATTGGCTTTACGATATCATAAAATGTAGTTAAGGTGAGATCAAGAATGTTAGACGAGCGTGCGGGCTTGTTTACCACCTGTGTCAGGTTAAGCGTGGGGCACATAATCAAGAAAATCTGCAGATGCGTGAGACCCTTGGGATGACAAACTGGCCCAGTCAGTCTGGGGGAAATTGGGGGAAACTGGTTCAGTCAGTCAGTCAGATAGTCTGGGGGAAATTTAGGTCACCATGTAGCAGGAGGGAGGTTTTGGGAAAGCGAGATTTAATATCAACCAAAATGGAAGACAGATTGGCTGCAAACAGTGCGTCATAGTCGGGTGGTTTGGAGCAAGCAGCAATAATAATCTTGTTTTAAACGAGTGGAAATACGTACTACGGAAATTGCAATGCTACTATCTACGAGTCCGACATCAAAGCGAGGAGTATTCTTTTTTATAGCGATAAGCACTCCTCCCCCTCTTCGGCCAGCTTTGTCACGACCAAAGATATTCCAATGATATCATGAAGTTCGTCGCGTTTTGGGATGACGCTTCGTATGTTAGTGAATAAGCCTGGATAAAGCTTGTTTTTATCGCGAGGTTCGAATCGACACGAAGTGATATCCCCGTCAACGGTTGTTTGCTACGAATTAGACTCGGGGCATATAAAGCTCGTCGACAGATTGAGATTCTTATTTAATAAGATAGCATATCTTACCAACAAAGAATTTTTCAAAACGTATTTTGAAATGAACGTTTAGGGTTTTCTCACACCAAGAAGTCTACTTCAAGCTAGCCGCACCGAAGCCGAGAAGTCCTTTCGGATAGCAAAACAGTAACTTTTAACTCCGCAAGCCAACACACTTTCCTTGTCCTTGAAACGAAAACATTTAACAATGATTGGCCTGTTTTTGCCTTCTTGAAATCTACCCAGCCGATGCGAACGTTCTAGATTAGCGGGATCCAAGAGGATCCCCAATTTTTCTTAGCAAAAAGGAACGACTTCTTATTCAAATTGGCAACAAGTTGCGGACTTTCGACCGATCGTTCGCGTTTCTTTCCCAGTCGATTTGAAGCGCTCAATACAGGCTAGACAACTGACATCCGCATAATACTTCGTGTTTCATTGTGGCTATGTTAACAGCTTGTGCAAATGCTATGTGTCATAGGGATTAGCAGGGCACGTTGACTCTACAGCAAGCGTATTTTTAAACGTGAGAGCAACTTGCTTTCAGATGGTGTAAAATCCTTAACTTTTGGGAGTCACAACCTTTCTTCAGCGGCGTTACAGACGAAATTTAAAGGCATGTTCAGGACAAAATGCTCACCACTACAGTTTGCTTGCGAAAAGAAATAACATTTAGGGATTGCGAATTTGTCCGACATGTCTGATTGGCGAACGAGGCCCGCAAAGATAGGAAACTTTACAGTAGCGTGCTACGCTACGGACCCTCAATTATGGTTCGCACTGAGCGAATAAAATCCTGCACCATCGTTTCAAAGGTCGTGGAAACACAGAATGTAATTCGTGTTGCTTCGCGGTGATGTTGCACGTATGAACTTGCTACAAATTTTATGTCTCAACGGCACGAGCATCGTCGTCTGAGGTGTCCCTGAAAGAAAGCCCTACTAAAACTAGCGCTCCAGCGGAAGTGGAATCGACCCCGTAAGTGATGACGTCACGACAGGGCGCTGTCCTCCAAACAAACAGTTGCTAGGGCCGCTGTTTTGGACAAATGCATAAGGGCTCGACTTAAGGTTAGAAAATGTCTGATAAAAAAGTATATATATTTTTAAGCGTTGTGTCTGTTTAATATCTAATCATGGAGACTTTTTCTATCGTCTCAGTACCATAAAGCGATGAGGAAATCCAGAAATTAAGTTTTACAACCGGTTTTGCCTTGCTACCAGACGACACAATGACTTCACGGGTTCAGTTGTTCTTTCTTAGGGAGTATCACACCGTGGAGAGTACGCGACTGCGTTGAATGAAGTTGGTGGCGATCGACGAAACTTCTATTCAAGGTGTCAACTTTCTGGGTGATTTCGGAAGCGAAGAGTGCCCGTGCACAGCTTTGATCGACGCTCGTGGTGAGCGAGCGCGCGAACGTCTGCCCGTGGAGCTCGCTTCCACAATATTCCAGAACAAACAAGGTGAGAGGGGGATCGGTGGCCGAGTGGTCTAGCGCACACCAGCTCGGAGCACGTGGAGCGAAAGCTCGCGCTGCAGAACCCAGGGATCCTGGGTTCGAGCCCCACCCCTGCCCGTTTCGATCTGGATGAGCATCGTACCGGCATGCGGTCGTGTATCACTACTGCGTGGTGCACGTTAAAGACCCCTGCAGGCTAGCGGCTGTACCGCACTGGCTAAATTTCTCATCTACAGCTGGGAGACTCGTCGCCCCTGTGAGGCAGACCAAGTTCTAGGCTGTATAAACACATACACAACCCAATTTTTTTTTAAACAAGGTGAGAACAATGTGAAGCCGAATCACGCACGACGACGACGACGTGAAGTGCATCAACGTCAAAGTGCAGGCCAGCGCACGCTTCAAAGAGTTCTGACAGCACAGAAGTTGCTTCAGTGCACATTTGTGCGATAAAACGAACTGTCCGTAACATATTCATACTGGGTGTATCAAGGAGCCGCCAGGCTCTTTATATCGACCGCAAAATTCGATTTCTTAACCTATCGCGCTACGATTTTGTGCATCATTGCTCACAGATGGTGCTTTTTTTTTTTTTTTTTTGTAAAATTTGCAAGGAGCGAATTTATTTGAGGAAAAAGTAAAGAAAGAAAAAGGCTTAGCTCCTATGGAAATGCGGCGAAGCCAAAGGTCTTCGAACAATACGGCGCCGTTTCGTACGGGATACAAGAGATGGCGCAAGCGGTCGCGATGCCAACTGCGCCAACGAACGGAACAACAAGGAACTGCAAAGCAGACGACATCAATACCCCGAAAAAAAAAAAAAGTCAAAATATCCCGACAAACCATTTTTCTAACCGATTATGTGTCCATTCAATGTTTTTTTATCAGTAAGGATGATAAAGGAATGCATTGGCAACTGATATCAGAAAAGCTCGCGCCGGTCAAAAGTCAAAAAGACCGTCTGCAAAAGACACCGGCTCTCGGTGCCGTATGCGCGTTCGTTGGCGCAGTTGGCATCGCGACCGCTTGTGCCATCTCTTGTCTCCCGTGCGAAACGGCGCCGTATTGTTTGAAGACCTTTGGCTTCGCCGCATTTCCATAGGAGCTAAGCCTTTTCCTTTCTTTACTTTTTCCTCGGGTAACTTCGCTCTTTTGAAAATTTTACAAAAAAAAAAATGCACCATCTGTGGGCAACGCTGCACAAAGTCGTAGCGCGATACGTTAAGAAACCGAATTTCACGGTCGATTTAAAGAGCCTGGCCACTGCTTGATACACGCAGAATTCGCAACGTTCAGCGGTGGTGGTACCGCGGTGTGAGAGTCGCAATCCCTAGCTCCTGGATGACAGGCTTCAAAATAGAGGTGCTTGCTATCCCTTTTAGGTGTGAAAAAATAAAGTAAGTCTCTAATAGAGCTCGTATATAGCAAAAATAGAACAACTTACACGCCGTAGACCCAGCCTCGTACCGCTGTTCTACGACGATCATCCAGATGACAGCCATTTTGATGGGCACCAGTGCGCCCCCTATAGGTCGTGAAAGTTGCGAATAACTTACTCGATGTTATTACCCAGTTCCTTCGCTGTTTGGGGCCTTACTAAAAATTGAAAAATCGGCAGAATTTTTTTTTTTTTTTTTTCATTGTGATTACAAGCGGGTACGAACAACAAGCCCATATTTCGAGCCTGA